GGATTCTACAATCCTTTATCAGTAAGTACATCAAACGGATTCTACAATCCTTTATCAGTAAGTACATCAAACGGATTCTACAATCCTTTATCAGTAAGTACATCAAACGGATTCTACTGAAATTTCCTCTCCATCATCTCAACCATCATCTCCTGAACAATTTTTCTTGAGTCAAAAACTATGTCACATTTACTTATAATAAATACAATTACTATAAATAGAATTGTTGTTGTACCATCTGTATATGTTATATGTGTGTTACCTAACTGTTTACACATACCACCTCTTGTAAGAGCTTGCAATAATTGTCCACCTTCAGGGACACAAACTGTAACTTCATTACAAAACCATCTTTCATTACAAAACCAACTTTATTTTAAGTTGGTATGAAGTATCACAGTGAGCTAATGCCATACCTCAGCATCTGTCATTTGTCATCTGTCGTCTGTCATCTGTCGTCTGTCATCTGTCATCTGTCCATCTGGCCAAGTGAGTTTTGCCATGGTGCAGCGGCCGGCGTCTGGTGTCCAGCGGCCGGCATCAATATTTTACTTTTAACAATTTCTTCTTAATAACCAAAAGGCCTAGGGTGATGATCTTTGGCCAGAAGCAAACTAGGATAAAGGGCTAGCAAGTTTGTTCAAATATTTTCAAGGTCACAGGGGTCAAATATGTTAAAAACTTTAATTAAGAGACTTGTTCTGAATAACCAAATTGCCCTGAGTGATGATTTTTGGCCAGTAGCATACTTGGATGAAGGGATAACAAGTTTGTTCAAATGAATGACCTTCGTCCATTTTCAAGGTCACAGGGGTCAATTGTCTTAAAAAATCTTTATACAACTTCTTCTGAATAACTAAGAGGCCTTGGCTAATGAAATTTGGCCAGTAATATGCTAGAATGAAGGGCTACCAAGTTTGTTTAAATGAATGACCTTTACTTATATTCAAGGTCACAGGGGTCAAAGATGTTAAAACCTTTAAACAACTTCTTCTCAATAACCAAGAGGCCTAAGGTGATGGTCTTTGACCAGTAACATGCTGGGATGAAGGCCTACCAAGTTTGTTCAAATAAATGACCTTGACTTCTATTCAAGGTCACAGGGTTCAAATATATTTAAAACCTTTAAACAACTTCTTCTGAATAACTGAGAGGCCTAGTGTGATGATATTTGGCCAGTAACATGCATGGATGAAGGGCTACCAAGCTTGTTCAAATAAATGACATTGACTTCTATTCAAGGTCACTGGAGTCAAATATCTTCAAAACCTTTAAACGACTTCTTCTGAATACCCGAGAGGCCTAGGTTGATGATATTTGGCCAGTAACATGCTGGGATGAAGGGCTACCAAATTTGTTCAAATAAATGACCTTGATTTATTTTCAAGGTCACTGGAGTCAAATATCTTTAAAACCTTTAAGAGACTTCTTCTGAATAATCTAGAGGCCTAGGATGATGATATTTGGCCAGTAACATGCTGGGATGAAGGGCTACCAAGTGTTTTCAAATAAATGACCTTGATTTATATTCAAGGTCACTGGGGTCAAATATGTTTAAAACCTTTAAACGACTTATTCTGAATAACCGAGAGGCCGAGGGTGATATTTGGGCAGTAACATGCTTGGATGAAGGGGTACCAAGTTTGTTCAAATGAATGACCTTGACAGACTTTCAAGGTCACTGGTGTCAGATGTCTTTAAAATCTTCAAACAACTTTTTCTCAATAACAAAAAGGCCCAGGGTAATGATATTAGGCCTGTAGCATGCTGGGATGAAGGGCTACCATGTTTGTTCAAATGAATGACCTTGACCAACTTTCAAGGTCATTGGGGTCAGATGTCTTTAAAATCTTCAAATAACTTCTTCTTTATAACCAAAAGGCCCAGGGTACTGATATTTGTCCTGTAGCATGCTGGGATCAAGGGCTACCAAGTTTGTCCAAATGAATGACCTTAACCAACTTTCAAGGTCACTAGTGTCAGATGTCTTTAAAATCTTCAGGCGACTTCTTTTCAATAAGCAAAAGGGCCAGGGTACTGAAATTGGGCCTGTAGCATGCTGGGATGAAGGACTACCATGTTAGTTCAAATGATTGACCTTGATCCACTTTCAACCTAATGTCCTTGTTCAACAATCAAGGTCAGAGGCGTCATATGTTTAAATCTTTTAATAGGTTCTTATGAAATCTTAAGATTACAAGTGTTAGACTAATAACAGGTGAGTGATGCAGGCCCATTTGGCCTTTTGTATTAGAATAGACCCTTGGGTCTGACTGATCCCCTAGGGACCTTGTTTCTTAGTAACAGTTTGGAAACAGTTGAGATTCCCACCCTATAACCATATGTACAATTGCTGAGTATAAAGAGATGAATGCACATATGCTTCCAAGATGGCCTTTGGGACTGCCCCACCCTTGCAGACGTTAACCCCTGGGTCATAACTTCGAAATTGTTAAGATCCCCACCCATAAACCATATATACAATTGTTAGGCATAAAGAGACGAATGCAGTCATGATATTAGAATCGACCCTAGGGTCTGCCCCATCCTGAGGGGTTTGGCTCAATAGGGGTAATCTAGCAAATTCCTTAAAAAGATTCTTCGGTACAAATTTCAGGATTTTATCAATATTTGGTCTAAAACATCCTTTGGGTAAGGGGACTTAATTTTGTATCAACGGTGGGTTGGGTCTGACACCCTGGGGGCAGAGGAGCGGAGTCCAATAGAGGAAACATAGCAAATTCTTCAAAACCCTTCTTTACCTGTAGGAATGACAGGATTATGTCCACTTGCATATAAATATAACCCCTGACTAACCATGTAATACATGTACACTTCCAGCAACATCTGGCTATTTCTACTCCAATTTTGCTAGCATTTCCAGGTGAGCGATACAGGCCCTATGGGCCTCTTGTTGGGGGTGCTTTGATCACCATAAGTCTTTCTTCTGTCATATTTCAACTTTCGCATTTAAAACGTTTCAACAATTAAAATGGCAGCATCCGTAGCTCATAATGATGAAAATATATGCAAATAAAAAAACTGACCTGAGGCTCTTTAGAGGCTGAAGGTGGGGTAAAAGGGGTCATGAGCTGTGCAGATTTGTTTTTAGTGAGATATCTTCTCCAAAAGAACTCGACTGATTTCAACCAAATTGTAGTTGGTATCAATTTTAGTCTGAGGGGGATAAAAACTTTTATAAGAACCCCAATGATCCTCTTGGGAGCAAAGCTGCCAGGTTCAAATGAGTCGAATTGGATGTTTTGCTTCAAACAAATTTTTGTCCAAAGATACTTGGCAGATTTCAACCAAATCTTGGTCATATTAGGACCCTTAGCCCATTATCAGTGATAAAATATTGTACAAATATTGTCTAAAATAGCCATGTAAGTGGTGCATAAAAGCCCTTGGTTGTCTTGTTCATCTGGTTGTCAAAAATGTTCAAAATGACATTGTTGTGTATACACCTTACTTCAGGCTGATGTTACTTTAGCGGCCTCCAATGACTTTGGAACATTCCCACTCGTCTTCTCAAAGGAGATCCTAGACGACCCGACCAAAGCTGAACATGTTGCTGTCACAAAGTCTAGATTGCAGGTACGTGTAATCACAGAACAGGTTCTGTGTGAGCCTACAGCAGGTAAAAACGTGATAAAATAGAAATACCATCAATAGTTTATGTACTTCATTGCAAGAGGAGTCCAAATTAAAGTTTAGTCCAGATTTAATATACATTCAAAATTTAATATACATTCAAAATAAAATATAGTCAAAATAGTATAAAAGTGAAAATTAAATATACAGTCAAAATTTAATATGTAGAAATGTACATTCAAAATATTATCAAAATTGTAAAGTCGGAGTCAAAATAATATAGTCAAAATTTTGATATACATTCAAAATAGTATTGTCAGAATTTAATATGCATTGGAAAAATATACACAGATAATCTTAGACATCAATTTAATAAACTTTCCTTTAGATTAAACATCACAGGGACTGCTAATCTTTTTTTATTCTTAAATAATTCTTATTTCAAAGTGTTGGTCAGTTGGTCAGTATAAATGTGTTAAATATGAAACTACAGGAAACTAATCACTTACCCTAAACACTTTGATGTCTGATTTCAAACTAAAAATAGATCTACAGTTGTTTATAACTATTGACTCAGGGATTTCTAGGCCCATTATCATACCAAAAGTTTTCTTTGGTTAAAATACCAGGTAAGTGGTGAGATTGTAACAAGCTGCACAGATAAATGCTAGAGTTATCTACCTTGGATTGTTTGAGTTATCTACCTTGGATTGTTTGAGTTATCTACCTTGGATTGTTTGAGTTATCTACCTTGGATTGTTTGAGTTATCTACCTTGGATTGTTTGAGTTATCTACCTTGGATTGTTTGAGTTATCTACCTTGGATTGTTTGAGTTATCTACCTTGGATTGTTTGAGTTATCTACCTTGGATTGTTTGAGTTATCTACCTTGGATTGTTTGAGTTATCTACCTTGGATTGTATTATGTTGATTGAAGCATGAGAAGCAAAGGTTATGTTATTGGCAACATAGAGTATTTATTATCGAAATTAATAAACTCACAAAGAACAATTTTGAAACTAATTCAATGTATTTGATTATTCATAAATTGAGGAGTTGCCCCTTCAGACCAGACTTTCTGTTCTGGGAACACATACCTGGTGGGTTTTTATTGGGGGGGGGGGGGGGGGGGGGGCAGTGCTTTCTTTGCAGAGTTCTTTTTTACAACTGTTCCAACCAGTGACCAGATAGAAAATGGGTTTTTTTAGGTTGATGTGAGTTTTGTACAGATGAAGTCTCATTACTTGGATAAGGTTTTTTTACAGATGAAGTGTTTGTTTGTCCACAGGTACCGTCCAACAGTTCCAATGGGTGATAAGGTTTTTTTTACAGATGAAGTGTTTGTTTGTCCACAGGTACCGTCCAACAGTTCCAATGGGTGATAAGGGTTTTGTACAGATGAAGTGTTTGTTTGTCCACAGGTACCGTCCAACAGTTCCAATGGGTTCTTCCTTTGGATATATCCCACAACTCTTGGCAACATTAAACTACGGATCACAGCAGTATCGGCAAAAAAAACTGACATTGTGGAACAAAGCTTGCTGGTGGAGGTCGGTTTTCAGAAACTATCATACTTTAATCTATAGACATGCTGAGCAACCCTCATACCCTAAATAGGTAATACAAAATGACCGTCCAGATGTATAGAGGTCAGATGATTAAGTGGTCAGTTGATTCAGTGGTCGACTGATATAATTGTCAGCTGATATTATTGTCAACTAATTTAATGGTCAACTAATTTAATGATCAACTAATTCAATGTTCAACTAATTTAATGGTCAACCGATTTAATGGTCAACTGATTTAGGGGTCAACTGATCTAATTGTCAACTGGATTAGTGGTCAGGCTTGATAAACAAGGTGAGGTTGTATTCTTATGCCATACCGTGGCGTCCGTCGTCCGTACGTCCGTACGTCAACAATTTCTTTAAACGACTTCTTCTTCTTAACCACTGGTTGGAATTAAACTAAATTTGACTGGAAGCATCCCTAGGTGGTGGGGATTCAAAATTGTACAAATAATGGGGCTGAGGGGCGGGGCCAAAAGGGGGCAATTTGGTTATATTGCTATAAATGACTTCTTCTGCAGAACTATGCCATGGATATTGATCATATTTGGTCGGAAGTATTCATGGGAGGCAGGGATTCAAAATTGTACAAATGGTGGGGCTGACCCCCCGGGCTAAGGGGTGGGGCCAATAAAATGTATTACTTGGAAATGGTTGAGATCCCCACCATATAACCATATATACAATTGCTGAGTATAAAGAGAAGAATGCACATTTGCTTCCAGGATGTCCCTAGGGTCTGGCCCCACCCTTGGAGACATAGTCCCTGGGCCATAACTTTAAAACGGTTGAGATCCCCACCCCAAAACTATATATACAAATGCTGGGCATAAAGAGACGAATGCAATCATGATATCAGAATAGACCCTGGGGTCTGACCGAACCCCTAGGGACCTAGTTTCTTAGTCACAGCTTGGAAACAGTTGAGAGCCCCACCCTATAACCGTATATATACAATTGCTGAGTATAAAGAGATGATTGCACATATGCTTCCAGGTTGGCCTTGGGGACTGCCCCACCCTTGGAGACTTAACCCCTGGGTCATAACTTTGAAATGGTTAATATCCCCACCCCAAAACTATATATACAATTGTTGGGCATAAAGAGACGAATGCAGTCATGACATTAGAATTGATCCCAGGGTCTGCCCCACCCTTGCAGACTTGGCCCCTGGGTCATAACTTTGAAACGGTTGAGATCCCCACCCCAAAACTATATATACAAATGCTTGAAAAAAAGAGACAAATGCAGTCACAATATTAGAATCGATCCTGGGGTCTGGCCACAACTATAGGGACCTAGTTTCTGAGTCAAAGCTTCGAAACAGTTGAGATCCCCACCCCATAACCATACATAAAATTGCTGGGCATGAAAAATCTAATATAGCTATGCTACAAGGATTGGCCTTGGGGTCTGGCATATTCCCTTGATCTAATTTGGAGAATAGTTTGCCATGATTGCATAGGTATCCAGGTGAGCGATACAGGCCCTCTGGGCCTCTTGTTCACATTTCAGCTTTGATTGGTCCCTCATCAGGTCGAGGGGGGAGGTGGGGGGGGGGGGGGCTCTATGTTTGCACTCCTACCGTCGGTCAGTCTGTCTGAATCCATTCGTCGCAAATGCTTGTCTAGGGCATTTCTGCTACACTTACACTTTCCTGGAATAACCAGATTTGGTACCGAAAGAAAAACTTTGGGTGGTTAAGTGTCATTTACAAAAAGTAGGTCACTGCATTTACCAATGTTTAAACTTTGACCATTAATCGTAGATAAATGAATTATCCCCTTAGTCCATAATAGTGTCTGCTTCAAAGGAGTTTGGGGAATAACAGCTAAAAAACTTCCAATATTTGGTATGACTATTGTGTTCAAAGTTTGATATCGCTATTCCTCTGAAGGTAGGGATCGCATGATGAGGATGCTTACCCAGTGATATACATGGTCCCACATACAGTTCTATTTTATACCAGATAAGATAGAAGGAGACACGGTAGTCTAGTGGCAGGACACTAGGCTCATGACCAAAGGGTTGCGAGTTCGACTCTCATCACCCCACTGTGTTGTATCTTTGAGCAAGTTACTTTACTCCGCTTGTTCAAGTCTACTCAGCTGTAAATGAGTAGAAAGTCTGGTTATAAAATGTCTGAAGCAGCATTAAGATATGGTATGGTGCTCGGTTATAAAGTTAGACTCTGAGACCTGCCAACTACTTTAACTTTACATGTGGAAGATTCTGGTTAAAAATTAAAACATAAATAAAATGTGCGTATGTTTATACCCCTAGCCACAAAATAACCCTTTAAAATAACATATTGGGATTTCAGGTGAAATCTGTAGCAAATTCACAGGTTCTAAATGAGGCCTCCCTCGTAAATAGGGAGAGTTGGCAAGTATGACTGTGGGTGACAACTTTGGTTGTCACAGTATAGAGCCAGACTGATTTTGTATGCAAACATTTCTATGATTACAGCCAGAGGGAAAGACAGAGTATGGAGTAAGCTCTATCATTATCAACCATGATGAAGTAACAACTGCAGAATTCATGATGGAAGCCTTACCAACAGAAGGCTCCATAGTGGTTGATGGATCCAAGTCAACCTATATTGCTGTCACAGGTAGTGGTCACACTATGTCACACACACAAGCAGTGGTCAAACTATATCACACACACACAGGCAGTGGTCAAACTATATTACACATACAGGTAGTGGTCACACTATGTCACACACACAAGCAGTGGTCAAACTATATCACACACACAAAGGCAGTGGTCAAACTATATTACACATACAGGTAGTGGTCAAACTATATTACACATACAGGTAGTGGTCAAACTATGTCACACACACAAGCAGTGGTCAAACTATATCACACACATACAGGCAGTGGTCAAACTATATTACACATACAGGTAGTGGTCAAACTATATCACAAATACAGGTGGTGGTCAAACTATATCACAAATACAGGTAGTGGTCAAACTATCACACACAGATAGAGGTCAAACTATCACACACAGGTAGAGGTCAAACTATCACACACACAGAGGTAGCAGTCACACTATATAACACATACAGGTAGTGGTCAAATTATCACATACAGGTAGATGTCAAACTATCACACACAGGTAGTGGTCAAACTATGTCACACACACAGTCAGTGGTCAAACTATATTACACATACAGGTAGTGGTCAAACAATATCACACACACAGGTAGTGGTCAAACTATACCACACATACAGGTAGTGGTCTAACTATCCCACACAGGTAGTGGTCAAACTATATTACACATACAGGTAGTGGTCAAACAATATCATACACCAAGTTAGTGGTCAAACTATCACACACAGGTAGTGATCAAACTATCACACACAGGTAGTTGTCAAACTATCACACACAGGTACTGGTCAAACTATATCACACATACAGGAAGTGGTCAAACTATAACATAAAGGTAGTGGTCAAACTATCACACACAGGTTGAGGTCAAACTATCACACACGGGTAGTGGTCAAACTATCACATACAGGTAGTCGTCAAACTATCACACACAGGTAGTGATCAAACTATCACACACAGGTTCTGGTCAAACTATATCACACATACAGGAAGTGGTCAAACTATAACATAAAGGTAGTGGTCAAACTATCACACACTTAGTAGTCAAACTATATCACAAATACAGGTAGTGGTCAAACTATATCACACACACACAGGTAGGGGTTACAAGATATCACACACACACACAGGTAGTGGTTACACGATATAACACACACACACACACAGAGGTAGTGGTTACACGATATCACACACACACAGGTAGTGGTTACATGATATCACACACACACACACACACACACTCACACACACACACACACACAGGTAGTGGTTACATGATATCACACACACACAAACACAGGTAGTGGTTACACGATATCACACACACAGACACACACACACACACACACACAGGGAGTGGTTACACGATATCACACACAGGTAGTGGTTACATGATATCACACACACACACACACGGAGTGGTTACACTATATCACACAGGTAGGGGTTACACTATAACACACACATAGAGTGGATACACTGTATCACACACAGGTAGAGGTTACATGATATCACACACACACACACACACAGGTAGGGGTGACAAGATATCACACACACACACAGGTAGTGGTTACATGATATCACACACACACACACAGGTAGTGGTTACACTGTATCACACACAGGTAGTGGTTACATGATATCACACACACACACACACAGGTAGTGGTTACACGATATCACACACACACACACACACACACACACACACACACACACACACAGGTAGTGGTTACACTGTATCACACACGGGTTGTGGTTACACTGTATCACACACAGGTAGTGGTTACACGATATCACACACACACAGGTAGTGGTTACACTGTATCACACACGGGTTGTGGTTACACTGTATCACACACAGGTAGTGGTTACACGATATCACGCACAGGTAGTGGTTACACTACACCACACACAGGTAGTTGTTACACTGTATCACACAGGTAGTGGTTACACGATATCACACACACCCACATAGGTAGTGGTTACACGATATCACACACAGGAAGTGGTTACACGATATCACACAGGTAGAGGTTACACTATATCACACACAGGTAGTGCTTACACTACCTCACACACAGGTAGTGGATACACTGTATCACACACAGGTAGTGGTTACACTGTATTACACACAGGTAGTGGTTACACGATATCACGCACAGGTAGTGGTTACACTACACCACACACAGGTAGTGGTTACACTGTATCACACACTATGTCACACACACAAGCAGTGGTCAAACTATATCACACACATACAGGCAGTGGTCAAACTATATTACACATACAGGTAGTGGTCAAACTATGTCACACACACAAGCAGTGGTCAAACTATATCACACACACAAAGGCAGTGGTCAAACTATATTACACATACAGGTAGTGGTCAAACTATATTACACATACAGGTAGTGGTCAAACTATGTCACACACACAAGCAGTGGTCAAACTATATCACACACACAAAGGCAGTGGTCAAACTATATTACACATACAGGTAGTGGTCAAACTATATTACACATACAGGTAGTGGTCAAACTATGTCACACACACAAGCAGTGGTCAAACTATATCACACACACACAGGTAGTGGTTACACTACATCACACACATGTAGTGGTTACACTGTATCACACACAGGTAGGGGTTACACTATATCACACACAGGTAGTGGGCACACAATATCACACACAGGTAGTGGTCAAACTATGTCACACACACAAGCAGTGGTCAAACTATATCACACACATACAGGCAGTGGTCAAACTATATTACACATACAGGTAGTGGTCAAACTATATTACACATACAGGTAGTGGTCAAACTATGTCACACACACAAGCAGTGGTCAAACTATATCACACACACAAAGGCAGTGGTCAAACTATATTACACATACAGGTAGTGGTCAAACTATGTCACACACACAAGCAGTGGTCAAACTATATCACACACATACAGGCAGTGGTCAAACTATATTACACATACAGGTAGTGGTCAAACTATATTACACATACAGGTAGTGGTCAAACTATATTACACATACAGGTAGTGGTCAAACTATGTCACACACACAAGCAGTGGTCAAACTATATCACACACACACAGGTAGTGGTTACACTATATCACACAGGTAGTGGTTACACTATATCACACACAGGTAGTGGTTACACTATATCACACACAGGTAGGGTTACACTACATCACACACAGGTAGTGGTTACACGATATCACACACACACACATAGGTAGTGGTTACACGATATCACACACAGGTAGTGATTACACGATATCACCTAGGTAGTGGTTACACTATATCACACAAAGGTAGTGGTTACACTGTATCACACAGGTTGTGGTTACATGATATCACACACACACAGGTAGTGGTTACACTGTATCACACACAGGTATTGGTTACACTTTATCACACACAGGTAGTGGTTACACTGTATCACACACAGGTAGTGGGTACACTATATCACACACAGGTAGTGGTTTCACTGTATCACACACGGGTATTGGTTACACTTTATCACACACAGGTAGTGGTTACACGATATCACACACAGGTAGTGGTCAAACTATCACACACAGGCAGTGGTTACACTATATCACACAGGTAGTGGTCAAACTATCACACACACACAGGTAGAGGTTACACTATATCACACACAGGTAGTGCTTACACTACATCACACACAGGTAGTGGTTACACTGTATCACACACAGGTAGTGGTTGCACTACATCACACACAGGTAGTTGTTACACTATATCACACACAGGTAGTGGTTACACTACATCACACACACACACACACACAGGGAGGGGTTACACTATAACACACACAGGTAGTGGTTTCACTATATCGCACACAGGTAGAGGTCAAACTATATCACACACAGGTAGGGGTTACACTGTATCACACAGGTTGTGGTTTTATGTTATCACACACACACAGGTAGTAGTTACACTGTTTCACACACAGGTATTGGTTACACTACATCACACACACACACACACACACACAGGGAGGGGTTACACTATAACACACACAGGTAGTGGTTTCACTATATCGCACACAGGTAGTGGTCAAACGATATCACACACACACACATAGGTAGTGGTTACACTATATTACACAAAGGAAGTGGTTACACTGTATCACACAGGTTGTGGTTACATGATATCACACACACACACATAGGTAGTGGTTACACTATATCTCACACAGGTATTGGTTACACTACATCACACGCAGGTAGTGGTTAGTTACACTACACCACACACAGGTAGTGGTTAGTTACACTACACCACACACAGGTAGTGGTTATACTACATCACACACAGGTACTAAATAACACACAGGTAGTGGTTACCCTACATCACACACAGGTACTACATCACACACAGGTACTACCTCACACACAGGTAGTGGTTCCACTATATCACACACAGGTATTGGTTACACTATATCACACATAGGTAGTGGTCAAACTATATCTCACACACACAGGTAGTGGTTAATCTACATCACACACAGGTAGGGGTCAAACTATATCACACACAGGTAGTGGACAGACTATATCACACACAGGTAGAGGTTACACTATATCACACACCGGTAGTGGTCAAACTATATCCCACATACACAGGTAGTGGTTTACGGTTTTGTCAGGGTTGTGGTTACACTCTATCACACACAGGTAGTGGTCAGACTATATCACACACAGGTAGTGTTTACACTGTATCACACACGGGTATTGGTTACACTTTATCACACACAGGTAGTGCTTACACAATATCACACACAGGTAGTGCTTACACTCCATCACACACAGGTAGTGGTTTCACTATATCGCACACAGGTAGTGGTCAAACTATATCCCACACACACAGGTAGTGGTTTACGGTTTTGTCATTAGATTTAAAGACAAAGTATTACTCTACACAAACAGGAAATTCAATTAAGATTTTCCCTTAGGCAGGTTTAATAAACATAATTTGTGTAATTAATCTCCTGTCTCCTGTGGTTGTTATGAATGTTCTTGTGATCAGTTGTATAAATGTTATAATTACTGTTGTAACAGGTGATGTGATGGGGCCCACCATTGACAACCTGGACCAGCTAGTCAGACAACCCTGTGGATGTGGGGAGCAGAATATGATCACCCTCGTCCCCAACATATTTGTCCGTAAATACCTCGAAGCTGTCAAAGATGTTGTGGATCAGTCCTTGGTGGATCTTACAAACAAGTACATGACATCAGGTATGATTGATAGATAACAATACTTTCCATCCTGATAGGATGTTGCCTGTGCACTTGTATTTGCTGATGAAATGTCAGACAATTTTCACTGTCTGAGTCTATACTCAAGAAAAAGATAACTCTCCAGAGATTACTGAGGGGCTCAGCTGACTCCCCAGGGATTACTGAGGGACTTGGCTGACACTCCAGAGATTACTGAGGGACTCTGCTGACTCCCAAGAGATTACTCAAGGGGCTCAGCTGACTCCCCAGAGATTACTGAGAGACTCTGCTAACTCTCTAGAGATTACTGAGGGGCTCAGCTGACACCCCAAAGATTACTGAGGGACTCAGCTGACACCCCAGAGATTACTGAGGGGCTCAGCTGACTCCCCAGAGATTACTGTGGGGCTCAGCTGACACCCCAGAAATTACTGAGGGGCTCAGCTGACTCCCCAGAGATTACTGAGGAGCTCAGCTGACTCCCCAGAGATTACTGAGGGACTCGGCTAACTCTCTAGAGATTACTGAGGGGCTCAGCTGACACCCCAGAAATTACTGAGGGGCTTAGCTGACTCCCCAGAGATTACTGAGGGGGTCAGCTGACTCCCCAGAGATTACCTGAGGGGCTCACCAGACTCCCCAGAGATTACTGAGGGACTCTGCTGACTCTCCAGAGATTACTGAGGGGCTCAGCTGACTCCCCAGAGATTACTGAGCGGGTCAGCTGACTCCCCAGGGATTACTGAGGGGGTCAGCTGACTCTCCAGAGATTACTGAGGGGCTCTGCTGACTCTCCAGAGATGACTGAGGGGCTCAGCTGACTCCCCAGAGATAACTGAGGGGCTCTGCTGACTCTCCAGAGATAACTGAGGGGCTCGGCTGACTCCCCAGAGATTACTGAGGGACTCTGCTGACTCTCCAGAGATCACTGAGGGGCTCGGCTAAATTCCCAGAGATTACTGAGCGGGTCAGCTGACTCCCCAGAGAGGACTGAGGGGCTCAGCTAACTCGCCAGAGATTACTGAGTGGCTTGGCTAACTCCCCAGATATTACTGAGGGGCTCTGCTGACTCCCCAGAGATAACTGAGGGGCTCTGCTGACTCTCAAGAGATAACTGAGGGGCTCGGCTGACTCCTCAGAGATTTACCGATTACTGAGGGGCTAGGCTAATTCCCCAGAGATTACTGAGGGGCTAGGCTAACTCCCCAGAGATTACTGAGCGGCTTAGCCTTTAAAGGTCACATGCCACTTTTATATCTGTAATCCCAAGATCAAGGTAATCTTCTTTCTAATAGTTGTCCAAGTTAGTGTGTATTTATAATAGCAGAATCTTTCTAGAATAAATTCTCCAACAAATGAGGGGAAAGTAAACTGTTCCTCTGTTGTAGCTTGGTCAAACTGTCTGCAGCCTGTTGTCTTTTTGTCCATTATCTGTCTATTGTCTGTCTGTCTATTGTCTACTGTCTGTCTGTTTGTCAGTTATCTGTGTCTGTTGTTTGTTTGTCTTGTTTATTGTCTGTCTGTTTGTCTGTCAACTGTGTCCATTGTCTGTCTGTCCATTGTCTATTGTCTGTTGTTTGTCTGTCAACTGTGTCAATTGTCTGTCTGACCATTGTCTATTGTCTGTTGTTTGTTTGTTTATTGTCTGTCTGTTTGTCCATTGTTTGTCCATTGTTTGTCTGTTTGTCCATCAACTGTGTCTATCTTTTGCTTGTCTGTTTATTGTCTGTCTGTTTGTCCATTTCTGTGTCTATTGTCTGTCTGTCCATTGTTTATTGTCTGTCTTTTTATTGTCTGTCTGTTTGTCAATTATCTGTGTCTGTTGTTTGTCTGTCTGTTTGTCTGTCTGTCCATTGTCCATTGTCTGTCTGTCCATTGTCTATTGTCTGTGTGTCCATTGCCTGTCTATTTGATCTTTGTTTGTCTCTGTCGACATTAATGTATGTGACGTTGGGATTCCTGCGCGCTTACAGTTCAGATTGTCTTGTCCTTGCAGTTATCTGGTATTTTATTGCACTTTCAGGCTATCAAAGGGAACAGACTTACAGGCACAAGGATGGATCATATAGTGCCTTTGGAGAGAGTGATCCGTCTGGAAGCACCTGGTATGTGTCAAGTGTACAACCTGTTAAGATCTCAGCACCTTTAGCTAGTAAATATACTTTTTGACACATAGCAACTGTTATACAAACTTAACAATGTGTAGTTAATTGACAGCTTAAGGTAAGTATACTTGTCAACCTCCATTAATATATGTTGATACAGAAGTATTATGTGCGACACCTATTGTTTCATTTAACCTCAGTACAAAAGTATGTATGTAATTAATTGTTTTGTTTTAAGTAGTTTTGTATCAAGCACTAAGGGGAGATGGTGGCCATGTCTAAAACCAAAATTTATCATAGAATTTGGTTTTCATGCCATTGAACACAAAAAAAATCTTTTTTATTTGTGATATAACTCGAGCTACACTTTGTACAATGTTTCAATCAGGAAATAACTTTAGTTTAACCTTCATGTAATATAACAGTTTAAATGGGCAGACAACTCCAGTATGTCTGGAACAAGGTTTTAATGGGGAGACCACTTGGTCACATGTAACACAGAAGTTTTAAATAGGGAGTCAGCACTAGATACTTCAGGAACCATTTTCCAATGGGGAGACAACTCTAGTTACACCTGAAAAAATATTTTGATGGAGAGATAACTTAAGATTTACATACTTTAGCACAATAGAATAGTTTTCACAGAGAGACAACTCTCGTAGCACCTTGAACAAGAGTTATAATGGGTAACAGAGTTTTGTTGTACAATAAGAATAGAGGAAGGAAGGTTCAGTTATAAATAACACTATTAATTGTGACACATTATTAGCTCACCTGCCCGAAGGCACAGCGTCCATCAGCTGTCGTCCATTGTCCGACGGCCCAGTAGATTTTGACCAAATCTTGTCAGAAGCATCTTTGGGGGAAGGGGAACAAATTTTGTATAAAGGGTGGGTGTGGTGGGTGTGGCCCCCCAGGGGCCTGAGGGGCGGGGCCCAATAGGAGAAACAAAGCAAATTCTTTAAAATCCTTCTCATTCTGTAGGAATGAAAGGATTTAGTCCATATTTGGTCTGAAGCAATCTTGGGTGAAGGGGAACCAATTTTGTATAAATGGTGGGTGTGGGGCCCAATAGGGGAAATATAGCAAATTGTTTAAAATCCTTCTCCTTCTGTATGAATGAAAGGATTTGTTCCATATTTGGTCAGAAGCATCCTTGGGTGAAGAGGAACCAATTTTGTATAAACCGTGGGTCTGGACCCCCAGGGGCTTGAGGGGCGAGGTCCAATTGGGGAAACATAGCAAATTAGTCTTTAAAATCCTTCTTCTTCCTTAGGAATGAAAAGATTTGGTCCATATTTGGTTTGAAGCACCCTTAGGTGAAGAGGAACCAATTATGTATAACCGTGGGTCTGGCCCCCCAGGGGCCTTAGGGTTGGGCCCAATAGGGGAACCATAGCAAATTATTCTTTAAAATCCTTCTTATTCTGTCGGAATGAAAGGATTTGGTCCATATTTTGTGTGGAGTATCCTTGGGTCAAGGGGAACAAATTTTGTATAAACGGTGGGTGTGCCCAATTGAGGGGCGGGCCCAATAGGGGAAATAGAGGTAAAACCTTTAAAATCCTTTTTCGACCATCGGGATTAAGGGATTTTATCCTTATTTATTCTGGAGCATCCTTGGGCCAAGGGGACTTAATTTTATATAAACAGTGGGTATGACCCCCCTAGGGGCATTGGGGTGGGGCTCTGTTTGAAGTTTGTTCTCGCTATATCTCAAATACTGGATGGGTCTTTCTGAAAATTCATATGTACTTACAGCATCTACCATTGAATGCTATATCTTTACTTCATACTAATTATTTTAAACACATTCAGGTGAGCGATACAGGCCCTCTGGGCCTCTTGTTTCCAGTTTATAGGAAGAAAATTCTGATACCATCAAAGTACTGTTGATCAAGATCTATTTCAGTTACAGAATACAATGATATCAATGGGGAGACAACTCTAGTTTTAATGCTTTAGTTATAGAGTACAATGATATTAAAGGGCAGACAACTGTAGTTTACTCATTATGTTTTAGGTTAACTGGTTTTGTTGTGAAATCTTTCACCATGGCTAAAAAATTTATCCCTGTGACTGTTGACGAGGCTGGGATTTCTGAAAGTGTGGACTGGTTACTGACCCAGCTGAATGCTAAGACGAACATCTTCAATGAACCTGGCACTGTGATACACACCGAAATGAAAGTAAGTGTCAGCCAGCAGGGTGTTTTTCTACTTCATTGTTTATAAGAGTAAACAGTTCTCAACTTATTTAATTACTATCCCGGAAGTCTTCTTAGGGAATCTTCTTAAATGTATCAGAGTCATCAATGCTTGTAGTGTCCATCAAGGCGTAGATCCTCCTTTGTCGTACGTTCGTGCACTTTCTTTGAGATCCTGACGAGGAGTCCCTACTGAGTAAATCACGATCCTACCAATCAAACGTTTGGAGTTTCACCGCTCTGTTATTGTAGCATCTTCTATGATCTGCTTCAATACCTGTAACTATGATTACTTCAATACCTGTAACTATGATCTGCTTCAATACCTGTAACTATGATTACCTCAATACCTGTAACTATGATTGCTTCAATACCTGTAACTATGATTACTTCAATACCTGTAACTATGATTACTTCAATACCTGTAACTATGATCTGCTTCAATACCTGTAACTATGATTGCTTCAATACCTGTAACTATGATTACTTCAATACCTGTAACTATGATTACTTCAATACCTGTAACTATGATCTGCTTCAATACCTGTAACTATGATTGCTTCAATACCTGTAACTATGATTACTTCAATACCTGTAACTATGATTACTTCAATACCTGTAACTATGATCTGCTTCAATACCTGTAACTATGATTGCTTCAATACCTGTAACTATGATTACTTCAATACCTGTAACTATGATTACTTCAATACCTGTAACTATGATCTGCTTCAATACCTGTAACTATGATTGCTTCAATACCTGTAACTATGATTGCTTCAATACCTGTAACTATGATCTGCTTCAATACCTGTAACTATGATTGCTTCAATACCTGTAACTATGATTACTTCAATACCTGTAACTATGATTACTTCAATACCTGTAACTATGATCTGCTTCAATACCTGTAACTATGATTGCTTCAATACCTGTAACTATGATTACTTCAATACCTGTAACTATGATCTGCTTCAATACCTGTAACTATGATTGCTTCAATACCTGTAACTATGATTACTTCAATACCTGTAACTATGATTACTTCAATACCTGTAACTATGATCTGCTTCAATACCTGTAACTATGATTGCTTCAATACCTGTAACTATGATTACTTCAATACCTGTAACTATGATTACTTCAATACCTGTAACTATGATCTGCTTCAATACCTGTAACTATGATTGCTTCAATACCTGTAACTATGATTACTTCAATACCTGTAACTATGATTGCTTCAATACCTGTAACTATGATTACTTCAATACCTGTAACTATGATCTGCTTCAATACCTGTAACTATGATCTGCTTCAATACCTGTAACTATGATTGCTTCAATACCTGTAACTATGATTACTTCAATACCTGTAACTATGATCTGCTTCAATACCTGTAACTATGATCTGCTTCAATACCTGTAACTATGATTGCTTCAATACCTGTAACTATGATTACTTCAATACCTGTAACTATGATCTGCTTCAATACCTGTAACTATGATTGCTTCAATACCTGTAACTATGATTAAAGCTGAAGTAATCTGCTACCCACCTAACTCAACAGGCATCAGAACCTTCAAAACCATTGTTTGCACTGTTCCACCAGTTACCATGAATTTGATTAAGAAATATCTTGTATGTACGTGTTAGTGTCTGTGACAGTTTATATGACAATGTTTCTCTCCATTGTAGGGTGGCACCAGCAGTTCAAAGTTCACCCTCACCGCTGTTCTATACATCAGTTTGAAGGAAGCCATGGCGGCCATGCCATTGACCGCAGCGGTAAGTTTCTGTAAAATGGACTTCTCCTGAACAACAGGCCTAGGAAATGTTATTTGAGCAGATGGCTTGGATGAAAGGCTTTCTGTCAATATTTTAGAGCTCTTGGTGCTTACATGAGAAATACAGTATTTCCATTTTTTTCTTTTGATGGACTCAATGATCTTTCACTTTTGTTAGCTTGCCTATTCAAAGTATAAGTAAGGGGCTGGGGGGGGGGGGGGGGGGGCTATTGTAGTCACCCTGGCGTTGGTGTGGGCATCCTACTTCAGGTTAAAGTTTTTGAGCAAATTGTGTTTGAGATATATATGAAATGAGAGATTAACTGTGCTGAACCATATATTTAGGGCAAAAAACTGATTTCTTGGTTAAAGTTTTTTTGGGCAAGTTTATTTGTGCTGTGTTGGATCACCACCATCAATAAGCTGTTGACTATTATAAGGTTGGAGTATTTATATGGAGTTAAAGCACTGTGCTGAACCGTATTGTCATATTTTAGGAGCGAAGACTGCTTAATTGGAGGTGGTTAAAACTATTTCACATTGTCTGATTATCTCTTCTTTTGTAATGTTCAACATGTTAACCCTTAGGCTGCTACGCACAACAATAGTCGTTTTGAAAAGGCGGGCCGGCAGTGCTACGCACGACTATAGTCGTTTCTCGGTCTGTAGGCTTTGATCGGTAGCCAGGAAGTGTGAAGTCGGGTTGTTGCTATACCAAACCTGAACGCGTATAGTAGAAGGCTTCTGATTGGTTGTTTTGTCATTACTTTCGATATTCACGGCAGTGTACCCTTAATAATAACCAAAGGTGTGCGAGAGAATTTCAGATCGAAAAAAAAATCATAAAAATGGCGGACGTGTAGATTGAAGCGATGAATATGATGGTGAACATTTATTCTCCATCGTCACCTACGATGATAATAAAGGTTTTAAAGGGTTTGGCATGGTTGATGTGGAAATACTTCGGTGTTACATAATATGTAACTTTCCAGTAAACGGCTTTGTGCTCTACGCAAACAGGAAAATATCGGCGGACCGAGGCGCACATGTCGTCTGCAGGTGAGGCCGAATTGAACATTGACATTGATACGTTTTGAGCCGATTTATTTCTTCAAACTTTTTATCGGTGATTTAATCATAAACTAGACCGTAGCTAAGATATATCTATATGCTGACTGTGACAGTAAATTTATTGAATGGCGACCTGAAACCTGTAGCAAATCACATGCAATTCTTGACGAAATACCTGACCTTTTTACCTGAGAATCTCCGTGTAAATATACAGCGTCTTATGTCAAAAATGAAGTTTATAATCTCTGTTATCATTTGCCAATCACATTTGCGGACAAAAATAATTTTGAAATGATCTTCCTCTTGCTTAAATCCGATTAATTAAAAGTTTCACATTTTCTTACCTTTATTACCACCTGTACAGGTAAATACTGAAGCAACTTTAGAATTGAAAACGTTAATATAAACTAGAGACAACAACGAACAATTTTCATATAACTTTTTTTCACATATAACAAATATTTTCCAAGTTATGCACATTTGAAAAATCAAGTAAATTAATTTAAATTTCAATAATTAATTCAGCAGTGGTGTCCGTTTACATAGAAATCAATGTAGCAGCCTAAGGGTTAAGGTGCAGCAAAACCTTGATAAATTGCTACCATTTGTTAAAAGAAATGTTAGCATTATAAAGGGATCGGCAATAAATGTGTTTCTATTGATATTTACTATGTTACAACATATATCGCAAATAGGCGTTTTCAGACAAAATCAACACGAACTTCTTCAGAGTTCGTTACACTTTTCCAACACTAACTCAAACGAACACCGCTCAGGGACCGTAGCATCAGCCTTCCATCATAGGCACATCTGCTTATACTTAATAAAAAATTATGAAAATTAAAAATATAAAACAAACTCGATTCGTACTTGCAGAATCTGGATACCAAGCTGGCCAATGTTCTGACTGCCTTGGAAACTAACTACCAACAAAACAAAGATGCTTGGGTGAGGGAGGAAAAGTACTTCCGCCTGGCTATTATGGCATATGCTTTTGCCTTGGGAGGCAGTTCCCAGACTTCTGACGTTCTACAAAAACTGAAGGACCTTTCCAAACAAGAGAGTAAGTCTTGAACACAAACATAAAAGTTTGTATATCTTTATCAGGATCAGTCTAGTACACAAACATACAAGTGTGTATATCTTTAACAGGATCAGTCTAGTACACAAACATACAGGAGTGTATATCTTTATCAGGATCAGTCTTGTACACAAACATACAAG